ATTTTCGTGAGTGGGAAGCAGTAGGGTAAACAGGATAATTTGGACGATGGGGAAGGGACACGCCTCGATTGGCTGAGGGACTAAGGAAGAAGAAAAAATAGGTTAAATTTTTACTCTCAGGCAACTCACTGCCCATTGCCTTATTTTGCCTTTTCCTTTTACATTCATTACTGGTCTTGGGGAAATTCCTGAACTGCAGGGGACCGTCCAGAGCAGGGATGGAGGCTGTCCTCAGCACGTGGGGTGTGGCCCTGAGGAGTTTAATGGGGAGGGATGCCTTGATCGGTTGCGGTGCCTCCCACAACCGAGGAGAGGGTTGGCGGGCAGGCCTGTCCCCGCGGTGCCTGGTACACTTTTGACGGAACAGAAGATAAAGGGATTATCTAGAAAATAGTTATATGATTGATACTGTGATGTTTAATTGTATAGAAAAATACTTAAAACTGATATTTTTGATTAGCAGACTTTAAATGTCGTACCTCACATGACTTCTGGTTCAGTCTATCCATTCAGCCTGACTTTTTTTAATCTAAAGTCTTTTGCAGTATGACCTTCATTGCAGTCCTATTTTGCCTTTTAAATGGAATTTATGTTCAGTGCCTTAGCTTCTCTTTAGTGCACACCTTGTTCCTTATATTTACTTTTTTTTCTATTAATTGACTTTATTTTTTAGAGCAATTTTAGATTCACAACAAGAAAGAGAGAAATGTACAGAGATTTCCCATATACCCCTGCCAGCACGCGTGTGTATCTCCCGCATTGTCAGTATCCCCCAGCAAAGCGGTGCGTTTGTGACACTGATGAGCCATCATTGACGCACTGTTACCACCCGAAGTCCACAGTTTACATTTGGGTTCTCTCTTGGTGTTGCACATTTTTGGGTTTGGACAATGTGTGATGACTTGAACCTCCTGTTACAGTATCATACCAAGTAGTTTTTATAACCCTAAAAATTCTCTGTGCCCCACCTGTTCATCTCCTGCCCCTCAGGCCACCACAGCCCCTTACCCTTTCATCGTCTCCGTGGTTTACCTTTTCCAGAATGTCATACAGTTCACACAGTCTGTAGCCTTTTCAGACCGGCTCCTTTCAGTTAGTAAAATGCATTTAAATTTCCTCCTGTTTTTTCGTGGCTTGATGGCTCGTTTCTTTTTAGCACTGAATAACATTTCATTGTCTGAATGTACCACAATATTTATTTACCTACTGAAGGACATCTTGGTTGCTTCCAAGTTTTGGCAAATGTGAATAGTGCTGCTATAAGCATAGCATACAGGTTTTTGTGTAGACATAAGTTTTCAGCTCCTTTGAGTAAATACCAAGGCATATGATTTCTGAGTTGCATGGTAAGAATATGTTTAGTTTTGTTAAAAAAAAAAATCTCTAAGATATCTTCCAAAGTGGTTGTACCATTTTTCGTTGTCACCAACAATGAACAAGTTTCTGTTGCTTCACATCCTCACCAACATTTGATGGTGTCAGTGCTCTGGATTTTGACTATTCTAATAGGTGTGCAGTGACTTCTCATTATTTTAATTTGCATTTCTCTGGTAACATATAAGGTGGAGCATCATTTCGTATTCTTATTTGCTATCTGTATACCTTCTTGGTGAGGTCTTTGACGCATGTCTTAGTCTGTTCAGGTCTCTGTAACCGAACAGCACAGCTGGCTAGCTCATAAACAAAAGGAATTTTCTCTCACAACTATGGAGGCTGGATGTCTGAGATGAGAGTGCCAGTATGGTTGGCTGAGGACCTCTTCTGGGTTGGGATCCCTGGTGCTTCTCTTTCTCTCTCTCTCTCTCTCTCTCCTTTTTTTTTTTTTTTTTTGGTGGGTAAAGGTCGATTTATTCAGAGATATACATACTCTACATAGAGTGCAGGCCATCTCAGAAGGCCTGCCACAAAGAGGCCACGAAGCATGGGATGGGTGTTTAAAAGCAGATGCACACCACATAGACAGAGTGCAGGCCATCTCAGAAGGCAAAAGAAAAGCCACACTTTTTTTCTGTAATGAAGTATAGTTGATTTGCAGTATTAGTTTCAGTTGTACAGCCTGTGATTTGGCTGTATCTATATATATATATATAACATATATTCTTTTTTTTTATTATAGGTTATTACAGGATATTGAGTATAGTCCCCTGTACTGCTATTCAGTAAATTCTCATCATTTATTTATTTTATATATGGTAGTTTATATCTGTTCATCCCATACTCCTAATTTATCCCTATCCGGCCCCCTTCCCCTCTGGTGACCATAAATTTGCTTTCTATGTCTGTGAGTCTGTTTCTGTTTTGTAAATAAGTTCATTTGTATCTGGCATCTCTTATAAAATAAGACACTAATCTCATTCAAGAAAGATTTGCCCTCATGACCTAATCACCCCACAAAGGCCCTACTTCCAAATCCCATCACATTGGGTTAGGATCTGACTTATAAACTTGAGGGTGGGGGACACAAACATTCAGACCCTTTGGTCCTGCCAGGGCTCTGGGTCTGGGCTGTTCTAACAGGTGTGTGGTAGTGTCTCACTGTTGTAACTTGCATGTCCCTGATGACACGTGATGTAGATCTTCTCCTCTACTTATTTTCCATCTGTTTATCTTCTTTGATGAGGCGTCTGTTAAGGTCTTGGGCCCATTTTTAAATTGAGTTGTTTGTTTTCTTACTGTTCAGTTTTAAGATTTCTTTGATATTTTCGATAACAGTCCTTTATCAGATATGTATTTTACAAGTGTTTTCTCCTACTCTGTGACTTGTCTTTTTATTCTCTTGACAGTATCATTCACAGAACAGAAACTTTTAATGAATTCCAACTTATCAGTTCTTTCTTCATGGATCGTGCCTTTAGTGTTGTATCTAAAAAGTCAGCTAGGTTTTCTCCTGTTTTATCTTCTAGGAGTTTTACGGTTTTGCATTTTACATTCTGGTCTGTGACCCACTTTGAGTTAATTTTTGTGAAGGCTATAAGGTCTGTGTCTAGATTAATTTGTTTGAATAGGAAACATCATTTATTGGAAAGACTTACCCTTTTTCCATTGTGTTGTCTTCTCTCCTCTGTCAAAGATCAGTTGACTGTGTTCATGTGGGTCTATTTCTGGGCTCTCTGTTTTGTTCCAGTGATCTTTCTGTCTCTTCTTTCACTGGTACCACAGTGACTTAGTCACTATAGCTTTACAGTAAGTCTTGAAGTCAGGCAGTGTCTGTTCTCTGACTTTATTCTTCTCCTTCAGTATTGTGTTAGCTATCCTGGGGCTTTGCCTCTCCATAAAAACTTTAGGACCATTTTGTCAATGTCCACAAAATATCTTGCTAGAATTTTGATTGGGATGGCATTGAATCTATAGATCAAGTTGAGGAGAATGACATCTTGACAATATTGAGTCTTTGTGTCAGTGAACATGGACTGTTGATCCATTTATTTAGTTCTTCTTTGAATATTTACTTTCATTTAATGTGTTTTGTAGTCTTTAGAAGACACTTTTTCTGAGTACTTCAGAAGTATCTTACAGTTTTCCTGTCTTCTTGGATTCATTTGCTGTTATATTTGTTCCTCTTTGTAAAGCTTTTTTTGGGGAGAGAGGAGTAATTAGGTTTACTTATTTATTTATTTTTAGAAGAGGTACTGGGAATTGAACCCAGAACTTTGTGCATGCTAAACATGTGCTCTACCACTTAAGCTATACCCTCCCCCTGTTCCTGTTTGTATTTGGCTTTCTAGGAGCTTTTCCTCCCCCTTTTTAGTATCTGTGATATGCAGACAAATGTGATTTCTGGTATTGCATAGCACAGTTGTTCTTAGAGTTATATTAAATCACCTGAAGCACATGAAAAACAAGACATTTAGATAAAATTTCTAGTATTAGGTCATGGAGGAGTACATGATTAATGTATATTAACTGTGCAGACAATGATGACTCTGGACTTTGGAGAAGGGAGAGATTTACTTTAGCAGGTTAGCCAAGGAAAACTTTATTGGGCCTGTGGAATTTGAACTTAGTCCTGAAATATGAGTGGATGTTGGACAAGAAAGATTAATCTAGATTTCTTGTGGATGAGTTTTACAGTACTTTCTCCTTTAAT